CACCCTGGATCATCACAATTCTTTTATATTGGAGAGAAATAAGTGTCCATCTTATTTAACCCAAACAAAATTCCTAATGGATAGACCCATTGTCAGCCATTGGAGTAGCTCCCTTCTAGGCTCACCCCCAACACTGGCAGGGCCCAGGCCAAGAGTCAAGATGTAGACGCCTAGTCTGTGGCTCTCCTTTTCTTTCTGTCCCTGGTTCTGTCCACTTTGTGTGGACATCTGAGCTGACGCTTCTAAGCTCATCCCCAGGCTAACACTGCTCCTGGGCCACTCTTCAGGCCTAGGGTACCCTGCTTTCCACCAGGAGGAAAGCCTGGGAGAGGTTGGGGTAGGCCCTGATACTGAGTGCAAAGCCATTTGACCAAGGAATTCCAGGATCCTGGGAACCCAAGGCATTGTCTAGAAGTGGAAGGAGGCTCCAGACCTGTGATCTCCTCACCTTGTGAGGGGAAGTGTGACCCTTGAAGGCACAGGACCTAGGGCAGGAGTTCCAGTTGCCAGGCACTCTCTCTCTCTCGCCTCCTAATCCCTGTCTTTTCATCATTCACAACTTGACAGTAGAGCAAAATTTGAAGTGGTCCAGTTAACTACTTGTTATAAGAACCTTGGTAAAAATGACCTTTTGGAGGAAAAGTCTGGAACTATAGCTTGAACTGTGTTGTTTTCCTCTCATCCTTAATGCTACTACCTTCTCTCTCTCTCTCTCTGTTTTAAAAATATATTTTATTGATTTTTTACAGAGAGGAAGGGAGAGGGATAGAGTTAGAAACATTGATGAGAGAGAAACATCGATCAGCTGCCTCCTGCACACCTCCTATTGGGAATGTGCCTGCAACCAATGCACATGCCCTTGACCGGAATCGAACCTGGGACCCTTGAGTCCGCAGGCTGACGCTCTATCCACTGAGCCAGACCAGTTAGGGCTACTGTCTCTCTTTATGAGACTGTATAATGAAAAGTGGATCAAGCCTGGTTCCTGGCAAGCTTTTCTTTGGTGAGTTGGATGGCTAAGCACAAGTTTATCAATCAACTGCAATATTGGTGCTAGTGTACTGAATGAAGGAGGGGGTCTCTAAATCCTTGGTCTCTGTCATTTGCACATCTACCTAATTGAGGAAACTATCTAAGTGGCACTTATCTGGATCTGTTTGCACTAACACTGCATCTGGGAAGGAACTGGAATCAGTTTCAAACCCTGGCTACCAATATTTGAACAGAGACTGTTGCTCTCAGAGAACCATATGGGAGCAGGTGGGAACTCTATAAGGTGAGCCACTGAAATGACCCAGGACGGGCCCCAAACAAGCTGGGCAACTTTCTCTGTTACTTAGGAAGCCCCTAACTCAGCCTAGGGTAGCAAAGACTGAGGCCTGACGTGGCAGTGCCACTGACAATGGGATCCAACCTCCAGTTCACACACTAAGCACAAGGTCTCATTCCTTGAGGAATCTGTCTCCTCTACATGGCCCGACCGGCAGGACCTGTAAAGCTGGCCTCACAAACATAAAAATACCCAAACCGCTGCACTCTCTCTGTGCACCTTGGAAGCTCTTTTCCTTTAGTTCAGTAATTCTCAGCCTTATTTTGCATTTCGGATCTCTATGTTCTCTCGGCTGGATAATTACCAAAGGACATGAGTTCTCACCCACACTTCAGAGAACTGGTGTGGCCCCTTTCAAACAGCAAGATAGAATTAAAAGACCACGGAGCGAATAATCTTGCTACAGATGGAATGTTTGTGTCCCCTCAAAATTCACATACTGAAACCTAATTCCCAATGCAATGGTATTAAGAAGTGGGGCTGTTAGGTGATTAGAACAAGAAGGTGGAGCCATCATAAATGGGATTTGTGCTCTTAAAGAAGAGACCCCAGGGGAACCATGGAAAACACACACACACACACACACACACACACACACACACACACAAAGAGGCCCCAGAGAGCTCCTCTGCCCCTTCAGTCAGGTGAGGACACAATGAGAAGACAATTGCCTATGAGCCAGGAAGAGAGCTCTCACCAGACACAGAATCTAATGATACCTTGATCTTGGACTCACCGGCCTCCAGAGCTACACGTGAGAATTAAATGTTCAGTCTTCTAAGCCACCTAGTTTATGTTATTTTTGTTATAGCAGCTCAGAGAGATGAAGATTATATCCCCAGCTTTCTATCTATATTTTGTTGATTAGTTTCCCTACAGGAAAAGTGATTTGAAGGTCCCTCATAGCTCTAAGGTTCAATGGTGCTATACAGTGCTATGAAATGACAGACATATTAAATATCCTTTCCCCATCCTCATCTAACTTCTTATCTTTCAGGTCTTGGCTTAAAAGCTAGTCCATTCCACAGGCCTTCCCTCACTCTCCCCAGCCTGCAGAATGGGCTAGGAGACTCTTCTCTGTGTTCCCATGATGCTCTGGACTACCTTATTTAAAGTTGTATCCTCAGCACCAATTCCTAGCAGGAGCTCAAGGACATATATGAAATGATGAAATGAGGGGATGGTTTCTGATAGCTACCACCCCCTTTGGTCACTGGACTCGTGATGAAAGATGTTCTGAGATAACTATTCATGGAACATGCTGAAATAGTCTTTGTTCTGCTGTCTGCATTTGGACATATGTGCCCTGAGTACATACCTAATGAGTAAGATTACAGTACTACATTTTTTTCAGGGAAAAAATGAAAACAAATCTTCCATTTTTATGGTCAGAGAAACACAGACTATTATACTTAGCTCAGTTCTCATTAATAAAATAGAAGATCCTTTACCTTCTCTTCTGAGCTCTTCAAATTAATCTAAGGTCTGATTTCACAAAGCATTACTAATTGTATAGCAACATCATTTATATCACAAAATTGCAAAGGATATACAGTGGGGCCTTGACTTACGAGTTTAATTCGTTCCAAGACCAAGCTCGTTAAGGAGCTCATTAACTCAAATTACTCTATCAACTCAATGCAAAAAATTGGCCGAGAGACAGCTGGTATCTCCAAAAACTCGTTAGTCGGGACACTCGTAAGTCAAGGCCCCACTGTACATATCCAGTCAAAGAGTGGTGGTTAGTAAATTATGATACTCAATAAACTGGTGAACACATGCAGCTTCTGAGAATGTGCCCACAATATAACCTGAAGTTAAAGGGAAGACATACATTACCTATGCCGTGTGACTGCCATCATGTGAAACATACTAAATATATGCATACCATATAAAAAGATATCCTACAGAATATTAAGAATGACTATGTTTATGTGTTAGAACTATGGATGATTTTCTTTCTATGTTTCTGAATTTTTCAGATTTTCTCATGGTGAAAATCATTTCATTGTTAATTGAAAACATCTTGTTCTTTTCTGCTAGGAAACTTTTGGCTATTGATACTGGGTCCGTCCGCTTGAATGAGCTGAACAGAGGAGCAGAGAGGAGACCCTGTGGCACAATCAAAACAGGGATGGAAGCATATGGAATCCTCTGGAGCAGCAACTAACCGCCCGTGTAATAGTCACTGATCTAAGCTCTTACTACATGCCAGGCATTGCCCATGCGTTTTATTTTCTCACTTGTCCTCGTAAACATTGTAGGAGATGGGTACTAGTGTTACCACCATTTTCTAGCTAAAACTGAGCCTTAGATTAGTCAGTTCTTTTGCTAGTATGAGGAGGAGCTGCAGAGCTGACCCTGGGCAGTCTGTCTCCATGGTCTGACATTTTCTCACTGTGCTCTACTGCCTCCTCCAACGCGACAGCAGCGGCTGAGGGGAAACTGAGCATAATTCCAAGCCACACTTCATTTCATGCAATGATCTCTTGTGTCAACGAAGGCACAGCAGCTATTTCCACCTTCAGGAGATTCTATTCTGACAAGTCTTCAAATAACTCTTGCTTGTCAGTGGAACGGTCTCTAGTAGCCACTTGTTCACTGTATTATCTCAGGGTGCTAACCAGAGGGTGAGCCATAAATTGTCCTTCTTTGGGACAATATGCTCAGCTTTGAATATAAGACATAAATCCAATGCTTTGGGGCAACAAGTCCATTTATAAATGCTCTCATGGCCAACTTTGTAGCCCCAGATCAACATGGATACAGTCCATGCCAGCTTCCCACTTTAAGAGTGGATAATGGTTGCTCTCTCCTTGCCAGCACAACTATAGGCAACCTTTCTCCATGCTCTTGTTGAAAGGAGATTCACCCTGCAGATGACTGATTATGCCCCGCCGACACCATTAGCGCACACAGCACTTGGAGGCTCTCTATTACACAGTCACATTTTCTATGCACAGAAACCCAGTGGTGTAACATTTCTAGAAGTGGGGGGGGGGGGGAGATTTCATTACGAGAGCATTCTAGGAGAACAGAGCAGGATACCTGGGAAGAGCCCAATCCTGTTGGAGTCAGGCGTGTATCACTAAAGCACGGTGTCTTCCGCGCCCTCCCTGCCACCTCAGGGAAACATGAATGGGGAGTGGGGAACTGCAGAAACAGTCCATGAAGTGAGCCAAGCAGACTGGTCTGAAGGAAGTGACACTGGGCTTAAGGCAGTGGTTCTCAACCTTGGCTGCACATTAGAATCACCTGGGAATCTTTTTAAAATCCTGATTTCTGGGCCTCATCCTCCGGAAATTCTGTTTCTTTGTTATGGGGTGGGGCCACAACATTAGTAACAAAGAAACAGAATTTCCGGAAGATGAGGCCCAGAAATCAGGATTTTAAAAAGATTCCCAGGTGATTCTAATGTGCAGCCAAGGTTGAGAACCAGCACCTTAAGGGAAATCCATTTCAAACTTTACATTAAAAACAAATGTGTGAGCAGGGAAACCTTAATGAGCAAAAGGAAACAACTAAACAGAGAAATCCTAACAAGAAGACTGAATGGAATCATCAGAGAAAGTGCCATGAGGGCAACTACTGGAGGATATAATTGCGTCCATTGTGCCCTGTCTCTTGGTCCTGTCCCCCAGGGACAGCCCTGTGGTGTCCATTCACTTACTTTCTCTGGAACCGGACCACAGGATCAGCCAGCAGGTCAGTGACATCAAGGTTTCTCCCCTTCTCAATGACATCTCGATGCTTCCGAACAAACAGCCACCCGATGTGGGAAAAGAAGAAGCCCCGGCGGGCGTTGTGGGGGTCAGCGTCAGTCTCCGAGTACTTGTGGTGGACTCGATGGTCCCTGGACCACTCGAAGATGTCGTTCTGCAGAGAGAATGCAGACCCTAAGCAAAGAGACAATGCCCTTTCGAGACCCTGGCACTTTCTCGAAAGCATCTCAACCTCCCCCTGCCTCACCTCTCACCATCCTCACCCCTGGCTTCCACTTTGCTCCTATCCTCAGCCTCACGTTCAATCCCTGGGGCTTTTCTGGGGTGGTTTCCATAAAAACAAGAGTAAATCCTCACTTAAGAGGGGGATCTTAGCTTGTGTTTGGGGTGTGCCCACTGCAGGAGGTTCAGACTTACTGGGTGAACTAGTGGGGAAACCTGAAAGAAAGTTCTGGAGCAGGCTGTTGAAGTCTCCTGGGAGATAATTCATGAAGAAAAGAGAGATCCAGTCTCAGGATGAAGTCTTGGTCGTTGGGGGTTGAGTATGAAAAGGGGTTGGTTCTTGGCCCGGATCTCTCTGCCCTCGCACCCAATCTCTAATGGCCTTGCTGTCCAACTTAATGGAGAGCAGGAAGCCAGCAAGTAAAAACTCAAAGAGCTGCTTCACCAAATCACTGAAAAGTACCAAGGCACGAATAACATTGCTTACGAACTGCTCTAACTGCGTCACAGAAAGGCGGGGGGGGGAGGGGGTGACTTTGCCTCCTTGAGGAATCTGGTGTATCTGGCCATACCCGCCAAGTGAAGAAGCAGCAGTGCCCAAGGGGCAGGCTGGATACCAAGAGAGACTCGGCTGCCCACGGAAGGAGAAACATCAGAGTCCAGCAGATTCTGCCAAACTCTCAGGGTGAGGCTCGGGCACACATGGGGACACACCCTGTTGACCCTCTTGTGATGGGAGAATGGGATAGTGCCAGGGGGCTGGAGGTCCTGTGTGAGCTATCAGGGCCAAAACCAAAGGCATTTAGGGTAGTATTACTAATGACACCTTATCTAGCCATGGGCCAGTGAAGTCTATAGACCTCTAATGTGTGCTCAGTTTTGTTTTTATCTGATAATGTTTTTAAAACTTTGAGAAGGCAAATTAGGTTAGAAGTAATACATTTAATAGGAAAATTAACCTGAAAATAAAACAAAAACTTTATATAGTACGTATATAAGCTCTTTTTTGAAAAATATAAAAATAAGGCAATAATGCTTAATACCATACTATTCAGAACTTAGTCATGTTTTCATTAAAAATCTGCTACTTCACAGATATTGGCTTCATTCTGCTGATGAGGAGGAGAAAGGGAACTATTTTACTCTAAAAGTTCTAACAATTATTTTAATCAAAATGGGGTTCATGAGTTTTTGATTTCTCTGGCTCACCTAGTGCTACTAAAAGACTACTCAACATTGTGCATCCTATAACACCATTGAAAACTTTTAAAGTTTGCTTAATCCTTGGGTATAGCAAACTTTACCCAAAGAAGAGGTAGAAAGACCTTAAGAAGTATACGCTCAGCTTAAATATAAAGAGAGAAAATGGGTGCTTAACAGTTTGTAGAAGGCAAAAATTACAGCCTAGCTTATTGTGATAGAAAAAGAGGTCTTTGGATTTTACATATATTTAAACAGAGTGTATTGGAAAGAGTGAATGCATTTATTATTTATAATCTCAGAATGTGTAGTTGGGAAGAAATTTCAAATGTCAGTCAAGACCACTGCAGCCCAGAATAACTTACTCCTTTTGCATTACTTTATTGCTTTTATTGCAGTGCCCATCTGGACATAGGAAGAAAGAGGAACCTTCTCCCCAGGTCACAAATGGCAAAATTAAGGCTTAAAAGACATTTACTCAAGTTCATCTACTAAGTGCAAACAGTAATGGAACAAAACAGTCCTTCGTTCACGTTCCTTTCAATGAGATGTATCCCTTATTCTCCAGATTCAATGGCAAGGAGGGGGTGTATCTTTTACAAAAATCTTCCTTTTTTTTTCTTGTTAAAAGGTTATGTTGATTCTTTAACCTATCACAGTGCAATTTTTTAAAAACTTTAAGTGATGAGCTCCAACGTGCTAGAAACATTATTCTCACAAAATTAAGCATAATATAACGACAAAAGAATGATGATGAGGACAAATTGGAACAGAGATATTTATTTATTTAAATTCCTCCTACCTGGACACCTTCCCGACAGAAGCCACTTTGACTGTAACATTGGAATGAAGCTCAGGTTTGGCCACATCCCAAATAATCAAGCACACAATCGAGCCAAAAATACTCTTAGGATGTGGGGTTTTTAACCCTTTGTTATTGTTTTGTTTTTAACGCTAAAGCTGACTCCAAAGAACAAGATGTCAGCCAACAATAGGGCAGGAAGGGGACAAAATTCATGTGCTCGCGCAGGGGCCTTTCCTTCCAACTCATCTGCACTCCGCTTCTATCCTGGACTGAGTTGGAGTGGGAGCCAAGCTGTGAGCAGCATTTGTGTTTGATGAAAAGCTGTGTATACCTAGAGTGTGTTTGGTACAGTCAGTATGTGCAGAAGGGAAAGCTGAGGGCTGATGAGGAGGGAGAGAGGGCTAAGCAAACCTCAGGAGGTGGGAGTGAGAGGAAACAGCCGGCCATCGCCATGGCAATATCCTGGACATCTCTCTTCCTCCCAGTGTTTACACAGTGATAATTACTCTTGTCTGGAACTATGTAGGCTACCCCATCATCCCCGCTTCACAGAAAAGGAAAACAGAAATGAGGCACAGAGAGATGGTGAACTCGCATCAGTGAGCTGACACTCAAGTATGTGGATTCCGTCTGTTCATGCCCTGCGTGCACATTTTGATAACGGCCATGAGATTGAGCTCAGCAACAACTTCTGAAACCTAAAGACTTACATAGTTTAACAAATCAACAAATCATTCAATTTGCAACTTAGAGTTTATACTTAACAGTGGGTTCTGGTAGATCACCGTCTTAATACATAACCCCATTAGCTTCAAAAGCAGACATTTCACCACATGTTTATTGATCATTCCTGACAAAGAACTGGAGAATGAAGCTACCCTTGATCTAAGAGCCCTGAGTATAACTGAGGCACAGGCAGGTGGGGGAGTGGAAGAGGAAGAAGAGAGTAGATAAGGATTGCACAGCTCAGGTGGTAGGTTTTATTACATGAGGAGCCACACCATGTCCTACTTTGTGTTGTCCAAGAGAAATATAATACAAGCCATATATGTAATTAAATTCTTCTAGTTGCAACATTAAAAAATAAAAAGAAACAAATAAAATTAATTTTAATAACATATTTTACTTAACATATTTTAAATGTCATTCCAATATATGATTAGCATAACTTATTAATGAGATATTTTACTTTTACTTTTTTTCTGTACCAATTTTTCAAAATTGGGTGTGTCCTTTATACTTCTAACACACCTCAATTCAGACTAGCCACAGTTCACATTTCTCAGTAGCCAGCAGCATGTGGCTAGTGGCTACCATATTGGACAGTGCAGTTCTAACTCATGGCTTATATGCTTTTCCATGTGTGTGCTATACTTTTTAAAGTTTTTAAAATTCCTATATAATAAAAGCCTACTATGCGAAGTGTCCAGTCGACCAGTCAGCCATTCAACCAATCAAAACGTAATATGCTAATGATATGCTAAAGCCACTCAACCTCCCGCTATGATGTGCACTGACCAGCAGGGGGCAGATGCTCCAACCAGTAGGTTAGTTTGCTGCTGGGGTCCGGCTGATCGAGACTGAATGACACCGGCCGGACGTGCCCTGGAGCTCTCCTTCAGTCCCTCCCCAGCTGGCCAACCTCCCGTGTCTCTCCCTGGCCCCAATCATGCACCGGTGGGATCCCTCGGCCTGACATGTGTCCTCTCGCAATCTGGGACCCCTGGGGTAATGTCAAAGAGCCGGTTTCAGCCCAATCCCGCAGGCCAGGCCAAGGGACTCCACTGGTGCATAAATTTGTGCACCAGGCCTCCAGTAAAATAAATAAAGAATTTAAAAGTTTTAAAAATTCAATATTGCTTACTGATGAGAGTGTGAAACTGGCACAAACCAGGTGAATGGCAAATGGGCTGCACATATCAAAAGTGTTAAAATTGTGCATATGTAAAATCTAACAATTTGTTTTCTTTATCTTAAGGAAATAATCAGGGTGTGTGCAACGATTTAAACACAAAGATGCTCACTGCCATGAAAACATGGAAAAGCCCTGAATTTCCACATAAGAGATTATGATTGAGTACCTTGAGATACATTATTTAATTCAATACTTTCCGTGTGTGTGTGTGTGTGTGTGTGTGTGTCTATACACAGAAAACTTCTGGAGAGAAATATTAAGAAAAAGATCTTAGGGTTACCTCAGGGAGTGAGACTGGGATATAGGAGATGAGGAGAAATACTTTTAAATTTTATCTTATACTCTGAAATTTTTAACAAGAGCATCTCGGTTTTGTATTAAAAACGAATTTACAAAAAAAGATATTGTATTATTGACAAAGAGAGATGGCAGGGAAAGAATTTAAGTGAAAAGTAGTTTTCAAAATAGTAGGTATGGAATGGACCCATTTTTAATAAAAATGTGTATATGGGCATAGGAAAAATAAAGGAATGTAAGTCAACCTTGTTTATAATGGTTCTAGAAAGTGGGATGGTGGGTGATTTTTAATTTTGTATTTTAGTTTGTCTGTATTTTCTAAATTTTTATAAAAACAAGTTATTCTTCTGTAAAATGGGAAAACAATTATTTTGAAGTTTCCATACTCCTGAATCAAAGCAACCCAGCTTCTGCCATCAGCCCATTAGGAAAAACTCTATGAAAAAGTAAGATTCATTTAGTAATCCAGTAATACATCTGTACATCAACATTAACACTAACCAACTAATCACACCTCACCTGTGTGACTTTAAGCAACGTGCCCTTGCTTAAACCCGCCCTGTGTTTTGTATCTTTATTACTTCACTCTCCATCCTAGATAATATCCCGAAACAGGGAACCTGCTGAGGCTGCAGAAACTGAAATTGATCATGTGGTGGTTTTTCTCCATAAGCACAGCCTTTGCATATTATCTGGGGCTTGAGCAAAGGTAATC